AATTAACTTACAAACTCTGAGCCCGCTTCTTTATACATTAATTTCTGAGSGCAAAAATATATTATACACTGGCAGAGTAGCTGCAGAATATTCAGCATTGCTCATTATATATAAGATGCTATATTTTCCAAAGGCTGACACTTTCCAGCCTGGGCATCTGTGCCAAGCTGARGGTTTTTATGTTTTGCTTTATTGCAGACAAAACGGTTCACCGGTTTCTAAGAACAAAGCGAGGAGGAAAATGACTTTGGGGAAAGCTCTGTAGCTCCATACTTGGAGGCAGGAACTTGAACTCTTGCTCACAACTGCCTTTATGTCCACAGAGAGTGCCCTGGAGCTGCAGGCTCAGGCCTGGCTGCTGACCACACGCTGAGCTGCAGGGTGGAGACAGACCTGCATTTCTGACTGAGACCAGACTGGGAACTGAAACATGGAAGGAAATGAGCACTGAGATTTCACTGGCATTTCCTTGCCACGTCACTGGTTTCTACAACTCCTCTCCACCAGCCTTCCACCAGCCCCTCCAAAAGCACATGATGGCCCGAGCCGAGAACAGGAGAACATGAACCCTGTCGTGGTGGTGGTGCTGGGGGGTCACAGAATCACAGAATGGTTGAGGTTGGAAGGGACCGCTAGAGATGATCTAGTCCAGAGATCATCTAGTCAGAGATGATCTAGTCTAGTCCCCCTGCTCCAGCTGGGACACCCAGAGCACAGCGGGTTTGGAAGACCTCCAGAGGAGACTCCACAGCCTCCCGGGGCAGCCTTTGCCAGGGCTCTGTCACCCTCACAGTGAGGAAGTTCTTCCTCATATGGAGATGGAAGTGCCTGTGTTTCAACTTGTACCCACTGCCCCTTGTCCTATCACTGGCCACCTCTGAGAAGAGCTTGGCCCCTTCCTCCCTACATTCACCCATTAGGTACTTAAATCATTTCTAAGCAAGGTGACTTTGCCAGTGGAGCACATCACGGGACATCATGTGGCTGCTTGGGCATTCGCCTCGCACAAGAGACGAGAGGCAGCAATGAAGAGAAGGAAGCAGAGGGGGAAGGAGGCAGAGGGCTGCCTAAAAAAGCARCACCCAAAAACAATGATCACAAAATCATGTTTGAGAGCTTCTTTTGTATTGCTTTGTAGGGAAGCACTTTTTAGGACAAAAGTTTTCTCAGCCAATGAAAAAGAGAAAAGAGCCAGAACAGAGGGGAAGGAAGTGAGTAAATGTGGACAAGCAAATTTGTATGCGTGGAACCAAGCACCCCATCTCCTCCCTCCCGGCAATGGCTTCTTACATCATCTGTCTGCCCACAAAATGACAACCTAGGACTCAGAGCAAGAGGAAGTGGGGAGTAGAGTCAGAGAAGGTCACTTGGAGAGGGCCATTCAGATAGGCTGGGCAAGGGCTGGCATTGCATGGACAAGAAAAATAGACAAGAGTCTCTGTTCTTGGGTGCTGTTCCTCCCCACAAGCCAGGCTGGAATCCAAGAGCCCGTAGCATCCTCTATCAGCAGATATCTGTTCATATTTTTAAGTCACTGAACACTATAGCCATAAGGAACCCATATGGAAATGAATACGTCTGTCTCCATGCGAAGATAATGCACAGAAAGAAAGGCCTGAAGCTGTAACTTGAACAGGGAGAAAACAAATGACCAACTGCATGCTCATTAGCAGCATTCGTTAACAGCAAGCAGCGTTCATCTTTTGCAGCAAATGAGCCCAGAGTTGACGTGCTCAGAATATATGGTAATGCATTTAGGGACCAGGCCAAACCACACAGACAAAGCAGCAGAATTATGTTTGTACACCTTACCCTGCTTCTTGCAGTTTTAACACATGAGAGTAAGCAGATTCAGAGCCACGATTTCTAACACTCTTTTATATTTTGGCAAAAAATAAATACATAAAAACCCTTTAAAATCCTTTCCCTGTTACCCAGATGAATGTTTTAAAAGTTGTTTATTACATATCCTAAATAACCAGGCTATAATTTGGTTATGACCATTTAAATCATGCTCTTGGGTCCAAGTTTTCCAGCTAAGACCCCTCAGTACAAAGTTTGSCACCTGCCTCCCTTCAAAGAAAACCCCTCCAAGAACTTTGTCGCATGGAAATCTGAAACTCAATAAGTTTCTCAAGTCCTCCTGCAAATAATATCACTTCTGCTGGAAAATTTTAGCTTGACATCCATAGCTCTTGGAGCAGGTTGATATAAAAATAATAACAATATAGATGAGGAAACCCATGTCCAACCCTGTGAATCACACCGCCTCCCTAAACCACAGTGARATTAGAGCTGCTGGGGAAGTGTCCTTTAAACTTCTGTAGGAGTTGTGATAAAAAAGCAAACAAGGAGTTCACTTTTATCTGATTTAGCCCCTCCAAAGTTATGCGAGGTGTCTACACTCCAGTAAAACATTTACTGCAAGCAGCTGGAACTGTCATCAAAAGTATCACTTAGGGCAAGAAAACATAGGAGTGTACATTGTAATTCTGATGGACAAAGATATAAACATGTGATTTAGTATTTATTAATATGCCAGGGGCTTGTTCAAGAAGTCGTGTCTTTCAGCAGGTGCAAAATTAAATGAGTTATGCAAATACAAACATTCCAAACACAAACGAGTTTCCTTCCCCTTTGTACCTTTTGTTGCTGCATCCATTTACCCTACAGAAAGTAACATTTCACGAGAAAAGTGTTGTCACTCTAGCGTGGTAGAGAAGATGACAAACCTTCGACCACAGAAACTGTAGAGATCTTGACTTAGGCTAACAATTCAAAATTGGGTGAACTCCCCAGAGGAAAGGGGGAAATTTGGATTCAACCATGTCCAAAGCAAGGATTCCTGTCTGTTACACACAGCCTGCGAGTCCTACTGACGACTGGGATGCCCTACATGCAAGTTATACCTTATGTCTTATATTTGAGCTATCCATAGCATTATGCCAGTAAAAAAGAAAGAACTTTTCAGGGCAGTCTAAATCTATGCTTTTTGTCATGCAAAATGAAGACACTCAGTAGTGACATGAGTTATTTATGTACCTGCAGGGTATTTCTTGGAAAATATTTAGCAACCTATGYGAGCAATGGGAACATTACTAATATAACACCATGTTATCTCCTTATAACGATGTAAACGCCTCAGAGCACCGTAGTATTTGATAACATCACAGAGATAAATGTTTCATACGTGCATAATTCCAACAATAGAGGATGGATGTAGCAGCAAGATCTGCATTCCAGCATAACATAGTATAATAAAGTTCAAAAATATGGTAACTGGMTCAAAAAATAAAGCAAAGGTAGCAAAAAGATTTCAAGATGATAGCAAAATGGAGATATCAAAATACAGTGTGCGTTTCTAGGGAGAAAATCTCTTTATTTTTTTCTGTTTGATTATGCAATAGTGTAAAAGCTCTGACTTGCTCTCTAATCTTCAAAACCTGTTCAGGGAAAAAGGACCAAGGTCCGCTCTCCAATCCAAACACAATTATTACTGAGTTACTACATACAAACAAACTGAAAGCAATCTGCAGGCAGGAAAAGTCAGAAATGCACATAGTTGTTACAACACCCGGTCAGGAAAACAGGATGCCATTGGAAAAGCTAAGGCAAAGCAAAGGAATATAAGAAAGGCTGAGCAAGCATTACTCTCATCCTTCCCCACACCTCAAAAAAGAGACATGGGATCTGTGTGAAATATATCCTCTAGCTCTTCCCAAGGTCCCTGCAGTCGGCAGCATTTCCACAAGGTTTGTGTCGCTCAGTGCTGCTCCTTGCCCCTGACCATTCCTTGCTGCACACAACCAAACAGGAGCCCCTGGACACGCCAGGTACCAAAGCCTGGTCTTCTCATGGTCACAGCCTGGCACCTCTGAAGATACATCCCAATAAACTCAACATCAGGAAGCTGCTGTTCCCACCTTGCATATGAATTAAGGGTGACCTTCAGCTTCCAAAGCAAATACAAAGCCCAGTTCAACCAAACAAATTCGTATAAACTCTGTGTTCCTGTACCTGGCTTCAAAAGTTAATAATTCTGTGTGTTTGCACACTAAGCTTCCAGCTAGGGAACTTTTCCAAGACTGAGCTTTCAAACAAATCAGAATGAGTTTTCCATCAAAATCACTAAAGATGTCTGCAGATATTTTTAAAAGATTTTTTTTTACAAAAAGAAAAAAGAATTAATGTGAATTTATAAAAATAAATTGGTTTACAATTTTGTAAAAATTGGGGAATTTCAGGATAAGAGAGAGGTTATTCYGGATCAAAAACAACATGCCATAAGTTACAGTTAAATAAGCTCTAAACTTTTCAGCCTTATGAAGAATCCAACATCTGAGCTGGCATTATAAAATCAAAATAAAAATGCGAGAGAATAATGGTAGGAAAGATTTTGCAACATTCATCGAATCCTACAAGCAAGTCCTTTAATCTTCAGTCTAAGGTCTCAGTCCAAGGAGCCCTTCAGCACGGTCAGGCTCTGGATTGGCAGTACGATTCATCCAGGCAATAAAATTCGCAGAATCAAACATTTCTAAAAATTCATGCACCAGCCTACATACATCACTCCAAAAGTTCTATATATTCCACAGAATATGCTATATATTCCAGTCGAACCTAAAGGTCTCAGAGCATCTGCTGAAGCTTTCAGTCCCCATGACTCKCATTGCCAGCCCAAGGAAACCCTTGCAACTCATTCCCTCCTTCATGTGCACCTCTACACCAGGCTTGCCAAGACTGCATCAAGGCTGAGCACAGAACTGGATCAAGAGAGTAATTTCTCTCTCTTTTTTTTTTTTTCCTTTTCCCCTGAAGGATCTGGTTCACTGGTTTTCTCCTGGCACATCACAAGGGAAAGAAGTGTCTGATTCCACCAAGTTAAGCAGCTCTACCACAAAACGTAAGACCAAAGTCTAACATTTCATTCTTGCTATCAGATCCTGCTGACCTCCAGGCTACTCCTGCACAGCACTGAGATGTAGCAAGAAAATACTCACCACCAGAAAGAGCTTCCTCTCTTACACTGTCATCATCACTAGGCTGGTGAATATTCCAGGATGTCAAAGGAAGTGAAGAAATGTCTTCAACTGATGCTAACTTTAGCATGTCCATGTGATTGCTGCCAGGCTTGTAACGTGGGATGAAACACTCTTTGCCTTGCTTAAAAATGTCCTTAATGATCTCTTCTGTCTGGATTTCGTCTGGCATGCTCAGAAAGATGGCAATTCTTTTGGATTCCTGGTATTTGGGATGKCCAATCACCTAGAAGGGAAATTACTGCACTGAGTTTATGAAGAGTTTACAAAAAATCAATTTAGATTATTTTAATTAAAAAGAAAACTGGAACAAAATATCAATTTAAAAGAGATGCAAACTACCATATACCATAAAGAGAATAAAATGATTGTGTTTCCTAAGCCAACAATTCTACCAGCAGCAAAATCAAATAGGTAAATTTTTGCACCCAGTGGAGAAGAGAGSTTAACATAGGTTTGTGCCAGCCAAAAACAATTTTGAGGACAGTCTGCTGACATTCTCAATATTCTCCAAGGCCCAGCACGCTTGCAGAAAGACGAGKCTGGTCGGAGTTGCCACCTTCCAGAGATACGGTCCTCTCCTGCATTCTGCTTCTCACATTTGGGCCTAGGTAGTAACTTGGTGGAATATTAGTATAACAGGTAGGTGTAATACTATGGGATACTATAAGGTTGTCGCTCAAAACAAAATTGGCCTCAGAGGTGATAACTGCAGAGCTCAAATTCTTGCAGTATTATGCCCCCTTTTTAACTTATTTTAACCTGAAAARCCCTCCATACAGCAAGCCTAGACACGGGGCTTCGAATACCAGCTGTGTCTAACAGCTGATCTTACCAGAGCACATTTTTCAGAGCCTGAAGGAGTTTGCCATTTTTTGACTTTCATGAGGTGCTCTAGACAGGACTTAGGAGAAACTTCAGTGTAGGATGGAAAACAAAAATTGCTTACATGGTGAAAAAGCATAAACAGATCCATCTCCCACTATGCCTCTGCACAACTGCAGATTAAATTCTAAACTAAAATACCGAGGAGAATTTTTAAGGCTTGTCTTCTCATTCTCCAGTGTCTTATATCAGAACAGAACAAATACTAATGGGTCCTTTCAGACTTAAATGCAAACTATGCTTATGTTACACACGCACAAAAAACTGTTTAAAGCAGCAGACAACCGAGACAGGGGGCTTATTTGTGGAACAGGGAACATCAAATCCCCAGTTCTGGGCTTGCATAACTAGAGGGTAACTGCTCTTCTGCACATTAACCCTTGCCTCTTTCTCTGCTTTGAGAGACATCTGCCCAAATCAGAGGTTAGAAACGGCTCCCATTAATTTTTGTCTGTCTTTCCAGCATAGCAGTCAGAAGCCCAGGTAAAATATTCAGCAGCTGGATATATTTTTGTAAGACGCAATATAATGAAACACCCTAGAGCAGTTATGGCGTGTGTTGCTTGGCCATAAAAAAATCTATGTAACAATTCAAAAGTAGATTTTACTTCCTTTTGTAATTTGTGCTGCACTGCACATAGATCATTGCAACTGAGTAAATTCTCAGGCAACACCATTTCCTTAGTAGCTTTTGTTCAAAAGAACTGACTATCTCAGCAAACTACAGAATCTATATAACCCTTGTTATTCATGTCACCGAGCACAACCAGAGCTGAACCTCATCACGGGTTTGGAAAAGAGGGAAGCTGRGATAGGAAACTCTCCTCCACGAAGGTGTAGCTGTGGCTGCGGGTGCCACACGGGTCCCAGCTGCTYCGACGTGCCCAGGAACACACTGATTACGCAGCATGTAGCAGCACATGTAAAACCACAAGCTACCAGGAAGACTCAAGTTCAGATGAAGCTGCTAAATTTCTGAGCAGCTTCTGAGAAGAGTAAAAAAAAAAAATTTCCACCCTTGCAAAAATGATCTGCCCTCTGCTCACCAGCTGACAGCTCTTATGGCMGAACGAGAGCAGGCGAACAGCATGACTTTAATCGTGAACATAAACATGAAGAAAGCATAGTCATCCAGAAGCTAATTAAATACTAGTGAATCGGCCAGCCCGTGCAGCTCTTTCAGTTGGGATTTAAAGGCCGTTTCAAGATGAAATTTTACTGGTAAAGATGTTGTTTAGGTGCTATAAAGTAACCTAGTCACTTGAATTAATTGCAATTACTGATATGCATTTTAAAGCTACATTTTCAACTTCCTATAGTTTAAAATATTTTCTGCATTTTTCAAGATTACCCTSATGTCTGCTCTAGCCCCTTCCCATAAGGAGGCCTGCAGGTGAGCAATGAYACTGAAGAAAAAGTCGAAAGGGATTTCAGGAGTCACAACTTACACCAGATAATCAATACTCAGTAATATAAATGTATACATTTCCTAAAGTCTTCTTTTAAGGAAAACAAAACCTTTATCTTTTAGGACGCATTCATCRCCAAACACGCCTGTCGCTCAGTCTATCGGCCGCAGTTAGATAAGAGCCGAGGGCTCCTAAAACCTTTGTATTGCGGGGGGGGGGGGGCAGGTGGCTGTAAAATTGGCTCTGCAGCTTTAAAGAGGACGAGTTATAAAGTATTATAGAAACTGAGAGCCTTAAGTCCAAGATGCGAGATGCCATTTATAATATAAAAGGATCTGCAAGTCCCTGGCAGGAAAGGGCTAATGCAGCTGCAGATCCCCTAGCCATAGCCACCGGTGCGGCTCTAAACACAGAAATACATAAATACACAAACAGATAAATCCCTAAGCACACAACGAAGCGCAGGCCGTGCCCGCGCGAGCTGTTTGGAGGCACAGAACAAACAGGAGCCCTAGGCCCCGTTCCTCGGGAAGGCGGCGGCGCCTCYGCGGCCCGGCCGCTGCCGCGGACCCCGAGCGGGCCGGGCCGTGGCCGTGGGGCTCCCCCCGTGGCGGGCGGGCCCGCACCCACCTTGCGGCTCAGCGCGCGGGCCTGGCGCTGCTTCTCCGCCTCGCCCA